TTTTTTTTTTTTTTTTTTTTCTCACTTTTTGGAAGTTAATATAATTGTTTGAGAAAATGTGGCAGAAGGGTTCGTCGCGTTTTGTGGGTCCCCCCCTACTGGGCACAAATATTGAGATGGAGGAAAAAAAAAAAAAATGGAGTTCTTCACCAAGCAGCCCCACGCGTATATATGCGGCGCATGTGAACCTTTGCGCTTGTGAATTATATGGACATGCCACTTACACACACGTGGTGTTGTGCCTGTTGTGGTAGGTGAAATTGGAACAAAAAGGCGATCTTGTCATTCATATGTTTCGGCGTTGGGGAAGAGCCCGCCCCCAAGGGAAAAATTCTTCGCTGAGGGTTAGCAAAGGCGTGTACCTTTGCAGGAGATCCCTTGCAGGAGTCTGTGCATAAAAGAGTAACTTCACCGCGGTGAACCAGCGCCCACCCTGAAACCCTGCCAACCACCACTTGTGGAAAAAAGAAAAAAAAAAATGGAGATAAGATGGGAGCAAGGCTTCTCCTGTTTGAGGGATCGAAATGGAGCAGCGAGCTACACTCCACATCAGAACGGATGAATTTTTTTTTTTTGGGGAAATCTGTACCGCGTTGCCACTTTTTTACTTGTTGAAATTACCCCACGATGCACCCCCGTACGTGTGCGTTGATGGGACAGTGGTAGGGGGTACCCCTTTGGCGAAAGGTTCGAGTCGAGAGAGGACGCCTAACTGCTGCAACCAAAAACGGTGACGAAACGCAAAGGGCAGACAGGCGCGTCCGCATGGCGCAAACGTTTCAAAATGTGATGAGGTGTGATATCGTCCAAGTGGAGAAGAGGAGGGACGCTCCATCGAACGGTTACATCACACAGTTCGGGAAAGGAGCAGCAAGTATGTTGATTCCTCCAAAGAGGTCTGCCTCTCATTTAAAAAAAAAAATTCGAAAATGAGACACAAGTCTAACTTGGGAACAAATGTTCATATGAAAATAAGTGTAATGGGTGGATCCATTTTTGTCTCTTTTTTTTTTTTTTTTTTTTGGGTGGGGAGGGACAAGTGTGCATACGTTCGTGTGACCTCTGCATGAATACAACCCCGCGCAACCACGTGGTGGTGAACAGAAATTAGCTCTGCATGCACATACTCTTTATCTTTGTTAGGTTCTTTTCGAGGCCCCTAATTAGTTGCATTGCTTGGGGGTTCCTTAGGAAGGAAAAAAACTGCACAGCGGTGATGTGGGGGGGAAAAAGGTCACGCGGTGGGTGTACTGGTGGGATGGTTTCAGCCAAGTGGAAGAATATCACGTGTTGCTCCTTTTTTTTTTTCCCCCTTCTTCCACCGTCCTGCTAATGTGTGTGTACCCGCTGCTCAAGCGAATCCGAATAGGTATATCCCCCCTCCTCACGCGGAGGACAAATCTGAGTGGACATTTCTCTGCAAAAATGAGTGAAGGAGTACACGCATTCTTCCAACTCATTTAAGTGAAAAAAGAACAGACGTGTATTCTTGGTCCCCTTTGTGGCCACGTCGCAGCCTTGTGTTGGGTTATATTTCTCCCTTTGTAACTCCATGTACGTGGGTTCTGTGTTGAAAAGTGTAATCTCTTTCTTTTGTTTCGCTTGATTCGATTCTACGTATCGCCTAGCGAGGTCTTTGTTACACAGCGAGTTGAAGGCCTTGTCAGCGACTTGTTTTTTCAGCTGCTCAGGGGGGGAGGAAGAGGAGAAGTTGGCATGTAACAGGTTGAGGGCGAGGTAGCCACGAATGGAAGGATACACTTGAGCGCTACCTCGTAAAGGTGCTGAAAGAACAACTGGCGCTCCTCCCGGTGTGAAGCAACCGATTGGCTCATTTTCATTTGCAGCTGCAGCATCAGGTCCATCTTCTTCAAAATTTCCTCCAGGCATAAAAAGTTGGTCTGTTTGTGCTCCAGAGCATTTTTGTGTGTATCCTTGATGAGGTCCTTCCAAAAAAAAGGGGGCGATCAGTTGTTGTATTTTTTTTTTTTTTTTTTTTTCTTTAATGGAGTCTTCGTGTGGAATAATCGGGAAGGTAATCATTCCGTTTAGCACCACAGTGTAGTTATTACCTGCATGGATCCCCTTCTCGCAGCCATTCGTAGCTCGCACCAGTTGTGGTTTGAAAGCACGATGTGGTTGTCCTGGGTTTCCCCCATGGATTGTTCTTCGCCCACTCTGTCATTTTTATTTGAAGGTGCCTTACCATTCACTTTGTGACTGCTTCGGTAGGCTTCTTTATCTTGTTGAACTTCCCCACGAGCAGTCGCTTCGGTGTATTTTCCTCTGGAGCGAACTGAATTTCCCGCTTCTGCGCGAGAGTGGAAAGGTTAGTACGGGGGGGTAAGACAAAATCGCCGTTGCAACATTGAACTCTTCGCCGCGGCGACTGACCCGTGCGACAGTCCAACTCGAGGATGTGATCGTATATTTTGGAGCTGATTTCCGGGGCCTCCGAGAAGGTGGGCAAATCATTGGTCCCTTCCTTCTCCATTTCGTGCGTCTGCAATTTGAGCATGCCGTTTTGCCTCAACGGACAAAATCCGCTTGATTCGTTCATGCAAAAGTTGCCCTTTTTAAAAAATATATTTTTTTTTCATAATCGGTCAGGTAAATATGCAACAAAAATGAACTTTTTGCCTGAACGGTTCAGGTAAAAAAATGTGTGGCTAGTTAAGTGTGCGCATTGAATGATTTTTAAACGCGCGAGCGTTTCTTCTTGTGCGTACAACGGTGTAGACAAGTCTGCGACAGTTTGAAAAGCTTCGAAAAAGGAAATGAACAGGGATGTGTATATATATAAACATGGCTCTTTCGCGCGATCTGAGAAAGGGAGAAATGCCGCTATGGGGATACCCAAGTGGGGACAAATCAACATGGTTTGGAAATTGGCGCTAGAAAAATTTAAAGCAAAATGATGTTATGGTCCATAGTTGCACACGCAAGTAACTTTTATCTACTCGTCCAAGTACTTTTTATATATCTTTTGGATGTATTTTTTTTCTTCGTTCTCGAGCAGATCGTTCAGCACCTGCGTGAGGGGGGTACAGACGCGTAAAAAAATGTGTAAAAATGTGTACACATGTGGAGCAGTGCATGTATGTACTGCGATGCATATACTTTTAGGGAGGAGCTACAGCGGACCGCCCCCCTCCATTCTTTCACCCCCTCAGCCAATTTGTTTTCCTGCTGCTCCTCCTTTCTTTGGTTACCTTCTTGAGAGAGAAATTCATTATGCAAAAGTATAGTCCCTCGTCTGGGATCGCGGAGTTCCTTTTAAACACAGAATGGTGCTTGTGCTTTCTCGCAGTGACATCATTTATAAGGTTGTAGATATCCCTGTACACAAAATTGATATTGTGTATGGAGTTCACATCTTCCGTTGGCACTTGATTCGCTGTGTTCTCTTCGCAGACTTGGAAGACGCTCTTCTTGATGAGCTCCTTAATTATTCTTTTCAGTTCGGATCGAGAAATATATCTGGGGAATATGCACTCCATTTTTTTTATGTTAAATTTTTGCTTGAAGAAGGAACATAGCTTGGCCAGCAGCAGCTCCTCCTGGTTAAGGCTATCGATCAGGGACATGCAGTGGGCCGTCTGCGGGGACAGGCGTTTGAAATGGGCATGAGAAGGGGTGAGAGGTTCACTTGCAGAAGAGTAGACGTGGTAAAGGATTTCACAAATATACATGGGGGGAATGTGATTTAGTGAAAAGAATGTATTTGCAGAGGGGATTGCGCAGATGTGCGTTTGGGCAGACAACCCTTGGAGGGCCAGACCCACTTACCAGGCGTGGAACCAAGGGAGCCGAGTTCAAGTCGCGCACTACTTTTATCTTGTACTTGCACCCCTTCTGGTGAGTTCCGGTTGCATTATCCTGTCCCTGTGATGGTTGATCCCTGAGCGAGGAGGCGTCTCGATTGACATGGAATTGTTCGTCTTGCATGTCATTCTCATCACTACGGTTAATATCACTGTCAGTCTCGTCACAGAATTGGAAGTTTCTGAACCCATTCTGTTGCGTAATGATCTGCTTGGTTGTTTCATTGATGTAGGTGTACGACGTGGGATCGTGTGTGCTGGTCGATCCTACATTGATGGTGCTACCCACAGAGGGAAAATCTTCTTTGCGTAGGTGGCCCTTCTCAGGGTTCGAAGCGAATCCACTGCTTGGTGAATGTTCTTCTGTGCCTCTTCCCCCAACTGAGGTATCACCTTCGTTAGGCGCTTTGCCAACAGTTTCACTAGCTCTAAACCGGCATGCATATCTGTATAGCTTGATGTACTTTTTTGTTAATAGGTAGAAGAGAGTGTACTGGACAAATTTAGGGATCCCGAAGCATGTCTTGTGCAGGTAATCGATTAGCTCCTTGTTTAACTCGTCCTTCTGCACACGTAAACACAGACTAACAAAATCACATAACCTTTCCCTACTGAAGTCCTCCAACTTTAAATACCCGTTACACTGCTCTGCACAATTTTTTATTTTCCGTATGGCTCTAATTTTTATGGCGTCGTTTTTCATGCCATTGACGAACAGGAAAATTAATGGCTTGTGTTTTCCTTTGAAGATGGGGTCACACAGTGGGGACTTCTTTCCCTGCATGGAGTACACCGTCCTGCTGGTGAGATGGTTTTCTACAGGTGGGGTGTCATACGCAACTGTTCCAGTGAGTCTGCCCCATGGACTGCCTCCTGCGTCCCCCTGGATGTGAGCTCTTCCTTCTGAGCGCTCTCTCATTTTCTGCTCAGCGACGTACAAAAGTATGTTGTCGTTTATGTTTGGGAATAACGTTTTGTAGAACCTCCTGTTGATTCCTTGTGTTTTCTTTGCCCGCTCTTCTCTGAACATCTGTGCTATGTTGATGTTGTCCACATTGCCTGACTTGTTCAGGTGCTTTTGCGTTTCTCCCCCCGAAGGGATAGTAGCGTCGTGGATGCCATCACCACAATCACTGCTGAAAACTCTATGCCTCTGAACTTGGCCGTCCACTCCGCCCTCCCTGTTACGAGAAGATGAGTCCATGTTTTGTTCCTCTCCGGAGGGCTGTCCATCTTGTGTGTGTGTGCTGGCGGAGGAGCGACCTCCCTGCGGCCAATCAGCACTACCACTGGGGGTGGCTACACCTGGGTTATCATTTCCCCCCGTGGAGGGGTGGCCACCTCCCACATTGGTAACTCCCTTGCAGTAGTTACACCCCCTGCAGTGGTGCCTCCTCCACTGTTTGACCCCCTTTTGTATGCTGTTTAAAATTTTTTCTCTTTTATACATGGCCAGCTTTGCAATGTTTTTGCAAATGCCCAAGGCGCTATCATCCCCCATTATGTTTAGGGAGGTGCCCGATCGGTAATTAAAGACAATGAATGTGTACTCATGGAGGGTGAAGTAGTAAAGCATGGAGCTGATTATTCCTACTCTGTTGTCCTTGGCGTCTGCCTTGAATAGGGGGTGCGCCTGTGAGAAGCGGTAACTCCCGGGGGTGGTGACATCGTTAGAGGTGTGCGCGTCGCTTTGCGCAGTTGTCTGAGGGGTATTATTTTCCGCCGTGTTCGCCACTGAGCAGCGCGGGCTAGAAAACGGTGCAGGGCGGCGCCCGCTCTCCTGCGCGTACCCCCTGAAGAAGTGGTCGATGGTGGTTAGGATCCGCGTACACAATTTGTTCTTTTGTTTGGCTTTGTCCTTCCCGTCGCTGCCGCAACTGCTGGGGCAACTGTTAGTGGAAGAGCCACCAATGTTGTGTTTTTTTTTTTTTTTCATTTTCTTTTTAGATGTGCCATGTCTCAGTTGTCTTCCATGCGTATCTGGACATGTGAGTTCATCAGTAGGGTCCCGTGTCCCCACATCTGTATCCTTCTCCGTGTGTTGCCCGGTAGAGAGGAGCACTGCTCCGGTCTGCTTCGAACGCACTGCTGCTGTGTTCTTCTTCTTCTTGTTCTTTTTCTTCCCTTGCTTGTCTTTCCCATCTGCGTGTCTCACATAGGGTATGACTAGGTCGTCCACAACACTAGACATGCACTTGAAAAACCAATGGTATGAGGGATGTGTGATTTCACGAAGTAAGTTATACTTGTTTTCATTTCTAATTAAGGTATTTGCCTTTCTCATTTTACAAGAACTCCATAGCTGGAGCATGTCGTTGCAGAGCATTTTCCAGGGGAGCAATGGGTTCGTCACGTTGATGTAAAGGGAGTGAGGCATGTTACTTATTTTGAATGCTTTGAAGTGACTTAATTTGTTAGAGATAAGGGTGATTAATTGGAATATGCCGAGGTGTTCATTCCCCTGGAGGAAGAGCACTCCGCCTGTGTTATACATTTGGGTAAAGTCGCAGTAGAGGGGGTCGTAGTACTCGTGCAGGAGTAGGGGCCCTGTGTGTGTGTTGTAGTCGGGGGTGGTGGTGGTTTTGAGTTGGCCGTACGGGTCGCCCTGGTAAGCGGCTTGCCAAGGGGCGTCACCACCCTCCCCCTCGCACTGCCGCAAGTAGTAGAGGCAATCCTTCTGCCCCAGCAACCCCTTGATCCTGCGGTGGAACATGCGGTTGTAGTAGCGAAGGAGGTAGTTCCTGTTTAGGAAGGAGAAGTCAGTCACTTCGTTGACCTCATTATCGATCACGTCGCCGGTTTCGGTGACATTTTTGGGTTCTTGTGCGGTGTGAGCGTCGGGCTGGCCATTGGCGTCTACCTCTCCTTCACGCTGTGCACCATGGCTGCTATCCCCTTGTGCACACTTATCGCTTCCACTTCCCCGTTGTGTGCACCTATCACTTCCGCTTCCCCTCTGCGTGCACCTATCGCTTCCGCTTTCGCGGTGTGTACACCTATCACTCCTGCTCTCCCTATGTGTACACCTATCGCTTCTGCTTTCGCGGTGTGTACACCTATCACTTCTGCTTTCGCGGTGTGTACACCTATCACTTCTACTCTCGCGGTGTGTCCGCTTGTCGCTCCCCTTTTGCGTGTCTGCTTCCTCAGGGAGGTCCTCCGCCCCGGCCTGCAACTCCTCATCGGTGAAGTAGTCATGTGGCCCCCCGCCCTCTTCCAGGCCGAACTGAGGAGACCTCCTATTGATGGTGCCTATGGGGGAGTAAATCCTAATGAGTTTATTCTTCCCCTTGACTTTAATGGAGATAAGTTTTTGAAATGAAATAAAATGCTTACAACCATTGAAGGTATTTTCATCGACATAAATTTCTTTATTGCCGGCTTTGCAACAGAGTCTGGCAGCAACATTAACTGAGTCCCCAAGTGCAGTGTACTCCTTCCTGATTTTATTTCCAATAATGCCACACCATATTTTTCCTGTGGAGATACCGATGCTACCATTCAACTTGAGGGACTTGAGAGCATCGATCAAGCGGAAGCAAGTGAGGAGAGCCCTGACCGAATCATCACAGTGATACAAGGGTGGCAGGCCAAACATAATAAGGATGAGGATACCCTTATCGTCGTATATAAATTTATTAATTGTACCCTCCATGGTAAATACGGCCTTTTGTGTGAGCTTCATAATGCCATGTGCAGAGTAGACCCCGATCATGGTGGACGTATCTATGTCCTTCACTGAAAGGAAAATGATGGTGACCTTCCTGATTTCGTTCAAAAAGACATTGCAGCCGATTGAAATTTTTCTGTATACAATATCTGGTATGAAACTTTTGAGGAGGAAACAGAAGTTTTTTTGTGCCAGCGGGGTGTCACTTTTGTCGTATCTGCGTTGGGTGTGCGTTCCCCAGGCGTGGAGCGCGTCTGGTGTAGCGTGTTGTGCAGTGGCTTCTTCAGCGGCTTGCGCAGTGGCTTCTTTAGCGGCTTGTGTAGATACGCTTCTAGATGCATTGTTGAACCCATTTCTGTATGACTGCCCCGTTTGCACGCGCCAGTCGTCGTCCTGCTCGTAGTCCCTCTTCAAGCGGCGCATGTCTATCTCTTCCCCCATTTTCACAAAAAGGAAAAACTTTTTGTTTTGCGTTTCCTTTACCACAATTTTGTCCTTGACCTTTTTATAAAATCTGTGAGATATTACACTTTCTCCATTCCTGGCTAGCGATTCAGCAACTCCTATTTCTTCTAAAGGTTTTCCTGAAAGCAGGTAGTCTCTCTTGTTGAGGACATTTCCTAGTTGGAGGAAGCTGACCTTCCCGTACGTGATGGCGATATGAACCTTAAGGTATTTATTTTCAATTGGAGTTGGAAATTTGTTTAGTAGTTTGTGTATATCTACACAGCACCCTAGGGCCAGGAGACATATTTTCTTAACGTCTTTCTCCTTTTGGTTTTGGCTGTGTGTTCCGTTTCTTCCTTCCGCGTTGGGGGTGGCGGTGTCGGAGGGGTAGTAGTCGGAGTTGTCTTGCGGTTGGGTCCCTTCCCGGGCAATTGTCGTCTTGTCTTTGTGAAGCGGCGTGTCTCTCTGCAGCGGCGTGTGTGTTTCAGGCGACTTGTCCGTTTCAGGCGGCGTGTCTCTTTGTGGCGACTTGGCCGCGTTCCCCCGGCGCAAAGGCCAAATGACCAGCACGGCGTCGCCACTGAACTTAATTATGTCTCCACCCCAACAGTCGATTATTTTGATCAGGATGTTAAAGAACTTGTTCAGGCAGTTTCCCAAAAGCTCCGTGCCGTTGATTCGCTTGTCCAGCTGCTCCGCTAGGTTGGAGAACCCGCTCGCGTCGCAGAAGAACTGAAGGGGAAAGGGGTGGGGTGAAAAAGGGAGTGAGTGGTCGGCGTGGAGTAGCGCGCGGTTGGCCTCTCTCAGCATGGAGCGGCATGGCGCGGCATGGAACGGCGTCGCTTGGCGCGTGGCGCCGTGTCTGCAGGAGCGCCCACCACGACGGCATCGAGCTTCTGAATGACTAGTTTGGAGAAAAATTTATTTGGGTCATCACATCGGTTGTAGACTCTGAGGAGGATTTTAGGAAAGAAGGATTTGAAGGTCGAGATATTCTGTGCCTCCTTCACCCAGGTGCTGTAGGCCTTCCTGTCTTCCTCCCGCAGGGACTTCTTTTGGAGTTCGTTTTCAATTATGCGTTCGCACTTGATGCTGAACCATCGCCAGTCGGAGGTGTAGTCGTTCTGCGCGGGTGGGTTGACAAACGTGTTGAGGTTAACACATCGTGGTTAGGAAAGAGCTCCATGCTGGGGCACACCCCAGGACGCGGAGCTTCTATATAGGATGCTGTGTTCGTTTCGCCCCCCTGCTGCGGTGCATTGTACTTTGCAGTGCACCCCGCTGGCCTGGAGAACCTTACCTTGTAATCCCTGTCAACCTTGCTGAGCGCCTCGTGGTCCGTCCGCCGCACCTCATGCGACTTCAGGTACTCACTGAAGATATTTTTAATCATCGTGCAGGGGGTGGTCTTTGTGGGTTGTGCATTTTAGGACGGGAGCAAGAAGAACAATTGGAACGACGTTTCTGGGTTGAATTTTTGCCTGACCAAGGTAGAAAAAAAAAAAAAAAAAAAAAAAAAAC